TGTTGTATATTGCTGTTACAGCTTTGTTAGTTCTATTAAGTTGGACTCATGTAGGACAGCTTTGTTAGTTCTATTCATTGGACTCATGTAGGACATTACTATGGGATCCAGGCCCTCGGCTGGATTCTTTGGTTGTTAATGTGTGGACAGATTTCTGGCACTCTTTTTATGATTCTTTGAGTGACTATTATAAAATAATCTTATAAAATATGTGTCCTGTGTTGTATTGTTCCCCTTGTAAAACCCCAGACTGCAACACCATGTAGTGTAACCCTACACTATACTCACAGCATCTCCTACTGCCGACATTCTGTCCTGGGGCAATACTTTACATTACAGTCAGTGAACTTGCATTGACATCATTATCAACCAAACTACATAGTGTACATAAAAGTTCACTGTTAGTGTGTAATCTGTGGGTTTGACAGATGTATATTGTCTTATTTCCACAATAATAATATACAGAATAGTTTTACTGTCCTGAAAATCCTTTTTCATGTGGGTGTAGTTGCACAAACCTGTAGTTTTAGCTACTTGAATAGTGAGGCAGGAAGATTATGAATTTAAAGTGAGTCTTGGCAACACAATGAGACCCCTCCACAAATCTTTGTGCTATACCCTGCTATATATTAATAATTGTAAAAAATTGTTATATGAGATTTATCACAAAGTTTGTAGCCTGAGAGGATGCCACAATTGATGTCACATTCTATTAGCTACAAATATGAGAGGGTTTTTTTTAATAGATACAGCTTTTGAGATACTTTTGTGATTTGCAAGTAGCAGTTCAGATTGTGAGGGTAGGGGAAGACTACTGGTAAATATAAAATGGTAGAAAATCAGAAATGAAAAGAATATAGAAAAATAATATTAAATTGTGTTGTATATTGCTGTTACAGCTTTGTTAGTTCTATTAGTATTGTCTCTAACTCACTCTGATGAGAAAAAAAGAGAACTTTTCTTCCCAGCTTCCTTTGCCCTTTTAGTAAAAACCAGAGTTACGGCATAGCAAATTTTTATTGAGTACATTCCCTAGTTGATAATTTTGTAACCTGCTTTAAACTTCTCTCAAACCATCTTGAGAACATACATTCCTGGTCCACTTTGCATTAGTTTTCCATTAGCTAGAGAGTGCTGGGTAGCTTTTTAGGTTATACAAGTATTATCCCTAGGGCTCACGGATTTCTGATACTTAAGTTAAAATTTTCAAATTTCTCTCAGTCTCTTCTAGACGTTGTATTTTTTGCTTTAAAAAAAATGTCATTTGGAGGTGGGGGATTTAGGTAATGTGAACAAATTTACTACAGTTTTTCTCATGGTTAGTCATACTCGATGAGCTTGTAATTTGAACGGCAATGACAAACTCTGTGATTCCTTGTTCTGAGAATTCTGGGCATACAATAGATATTTGGTTAAGAACTATTTGGTTTCTTGCTTGGGGTAGGCTTTTGGATTGTTGAGAAATCCTGATTAAGGTTCATAACCTAGGTTTGAGGAGACAGCTGAACCCTCTGAAATTGGAAGCAAAATGATATACCAAAGTATGTGCATGTGTATGTTTTCATAAGAGTATATGTATCTTTTATTGGACTTTTGAGAGTCCTGTGACCTAAAATAGATTAAGAACTTTACCTTAATTTTGTAAAGTACAATTTTCAGGTTGGGTGGTTTTTTTTTTCCACTCACTTACATTACCAGTAAACTCAACAGAAATGAAACTCATCATGTAGCACAGCAGCACTAATCTGATTGATCATTTTCTAAATTTTCCTGGCAATGCAATAATGTATGATGTAACCACGGAAATATTGCTGATAACAACTTGTGAGTTTTGGAGAGAGAGAGAGGAGAGGTTGTTTGCTGGAGGTCAAACCCCCAGTGGGGTACTCTATCACTAAGCTATAACCCCAGAGCCTCCCCTTTTTTGGGGGAGAGGGCTTTGCTAAATTGCCCAGGCTGACCTTGAACTTACTATCTCTTCACGGGCCTTAGCCTCTCAAGTAGCTGGGATTGTAGGCATGCAGCTCCACACTAGCCAACTTGGTTCAGGGCAAATATGGTATTGTTAGTGATCAGTCTTTTTTTCCAGTTCCCCAGTGATGATATGCTATATAATTTCTTCAAACCATTAGAATAATATAGCATTTGTTGCTTTTAAATCTTATCAAAATTTATCACACTGAACATTTTCAATAAATCCAAGCAATCATTTCATGATAAAATTCTGTTATTTATACTTCAGGTAAGCTGACATCCAAGAATTAAGCTATAACTTTGATTCTGTTTTTGTTTTCAGAACTCTTCATCTTGGCTTATCCCTATCCTGCCTGATATGCTGCGACACATTTTTCAGTTTTGTGTTTTAGAAAGCAGCCAGGAAATTCTGGACCTCATTCACAAGGTACACAATGAATATACTGCTCTTCCTACTAACTATACATTTTTAAGTTTTTTCGTAATTGGTGTACCTTGGTCAGGGATTTTAAGAAATTAAAAGTCATCATTGATTTGAAAATTCTGAGACAGGAGTCTGCAAGATGAGATAGGAATCTAGGATTCTTATGGAATATAATAGTTAAATTCTTCTTGGCTGTGCTTTTTCTTACTATGTCACCTGATTAGGCAAGTGTTTTAAGCACTTTCTGAAAGGTCTAAAGTATTTGGGGGGTTATATTGGTCATATAGTGTGTCTAATTTAGACTTTGTATTTTCGCCTATGACTTAGCAAGATTAATCATATGTGTTGAATTCTTGAAAGGAGGAGCCTTTTGGTACATTTAATAACATATATGGTGAGAAATGGCACTGTTATACCTTTAGAATCTATTAAGTTAATCTTTGTTGGACATATGGTGGCTCTTGTTAACAGCCTTCAATTAACAGTAGGGTAATTTCTTCCTATTGATTTTAGCCTATTAAATGTTAGGTATCAAAAAAGATACTGAGTAAGATCATGTATTAAGACTTACACTGTTAGCCGGGCCTGGTGGCGCACGCCTGTAATCCCAGCACTCGGGAGGCTGAGGCAGGAGGATTGTTGTGAGTTCGAGACCAGCCTGGGATACAAAGTGAACTCAAGGCAAGCCTGAACTACATGGTTCAAGCCTGAACTACATTAGTCTCACTAAGACTTACACTGTTTTTGATCTAGAGTATTATTCCTAAATTTAGCAAAGAATACTTGTCAGGAGCTATTATTATTATTACAATATCATAAAGTATGTGGTGAATATAGGACTGTATTAGTATTAATCCTTATTGTATGAAATGGATTTCAGTGTCTTACTGAGATTTTAACAACTCTGTAATTTTTATGGCTAAGTTTTATTTTTAAAATTAAAATATTGAAATTTTTTAGTACTCTTTAAAATTTTTCCCTTTGCTTTACTTCTTGTACTATATTAACCTATCAAACAGCACTTTAAAATAAATCTTTATGTTGTCTTTAATTTAATCTCTATGCTGTTTCCTACTTTTAAAAAAATTCAGTATCCCTGAAAATAAGTATTAGGTTTTGTTAGCACTTAATAGAAAAATTTCACTTTCATGCTCTCCTTTCACTCTGTAGGTTTGGATGGAACTGTTGAACAAGGCTTCAGTTCAGTATGTGGTAGCAGCTGCTTGCCCATGGATGGGTGCTTGGCTTTGCTTAATGATGCAGCCTTCTCATTTACCTATTGATTTAAACATGTTGCTAGAAGTAAAAGCTAGAACCAAGGTAAGAGGGACATAATGTATTTGTGTGTTCAACTCACAATTATAAACAGAGCAATCATGTAAGAAATGCATATTACTTTATTATAAATGTACTTAGAATTCCCAGTCTATACTTGAGACAATAAGCTATGTCCATATTTAATATTTGCTCTTAATCCCATAGTCTGTTAAGAAGGTTCACCTGAAAAGCATGTGATTTCCTTAATTTAACCTTAGTAAGAAGAAATTGTTACTTTATTACAACCCTAACAAGAGGAACAGTAATTCTCATCAATTAAATATTTTTGAAAAGAACTATATTTTACTGGAATTATAACCTTTGTTTGTTTATTTTTGCTGTATGGTTCAGGGTGGCCTTGAACTTACAGTCACCCTCCTCCTCCCAAGTGCTGGGGTTATAGGCATGCACCCCATAATTGCCTCAGTCCTTTTTGTTGCTAATTAAATTTTAATAATTAATCTTTATTATCCCTCCACCCTTTTCCTCTAGGAAAAAACAGGTGGTAAGGTGCGCCAAGGCCAAAACCAGAATAAAGAAGTACTTCAGGAGTACATTGCAGGCACAGACACCATCATGGAAGACCCAGCCACCAGGGACTTCGTAGTTATGCGGGCCAGAATGATGGCAGCCAAGTGAGTATGTTACTGAGTGTTAAATAATCATAAATTCACAGGTCTGGCTCCAGAAGTGACGAAGTTGTTGTGCTTCTGTCAACCCTTCTGTTTACAGCCTAAGAAAAATTGAAAGCAAGTAAATACATGTAACATTTTAAAGTTTTAAAAACAATTCACATTTTTTTAGATGTAAGATGGGAGTTACATCGTTGTGAAAAAATTTATGGCTTCAGGAGGCGCAAGATGATTTCTGTTGTAACTTCTTTTTTCTCCCTCTTGAAGACTATTAGGAGCACTTTGTTGCTGTATTTGTGATCCAAGTGTAAACATCATAACACAAGAAATTAAACCAGCGGAATCCCTTGGCCAGTTACTACTCTTTCATTTGAACTCCAAATCTGCCTTACAGAGGATTAGTGTTGCTTTGGTAATCTGTGAATGGGCCACTTTACAAAAGGTAAGATTTTGCCCCAGAGGTAATAAAGGCAGATTAAGTAAACTAACTTCCATTAGCTGTTAGGAGTATTTATATTTTACAACAGAAAACTGAAAATTTTCTTTAAAAATCCAGCCAATATAGGGAAGTATTCCTAATTATATTGAACATTCTTTCCACTTACCTTTACTGTTAGACTTCTTACTTAGAATTCCCAGTCTGTACTTGAAATAATAAGCTATGTCCATATTTAATATTTGCTCTTAATCCCATAGTCTGTTAAGAAGGTTCACCTGAAAAGCATGTGTATATATGGAAGCAGTCCAGAAATTGGCAGCTACGTATATAGGTGGCCATTCATTCCTTTGTCTCCTTAGCACTGACAACTACGAAAGATGGTTTGTGTTTTAGGATTCTGTTTGTGGGTAAGAGCAAAGTCAGAATTTTCAGTCGTAGAATAAAGGAACTTTCATATTTAAACCCAAATCCTGGGCTGGGGATATAGCTCAGCGGCACAAGAGCCTGCCTGGCAGGTGTAAGGTCCTGAGTTCGATCCCTGGTACCAAAAAAATAAAAAATAAAAAAACCCAAATCTTCATGTTTTCAAATAAACCCATTCCCTTCTAGTTCCTTTAACTTAGAAAGATGTATGATTTTGTGTAAGACGTACTTGTGTAAATGAAAAACACTTCCCACTGGCTTTGTTTATTCCATTGACTGGAATTCTGGAAATTTAACTGTCTGCACTTGCTGTGAGAGTTGCTTGTTACTGCCTCTTAGCAGTTTGTCAAAGCTGTGTCTAAAAGTAATTGAGCCATGCTCCATTGTAACTGAAATCCCTGCTGGCCTCTGGAAAGAAGCAAGGCTCATCTGTTTTTAGGCAGGACTCAATGTGCTGGAGAGGCAGTGATGCTGTGTTTTTGTGCCTCTCAGACTCAACAGCAAGTGTTGACAGTTCGGTTTCTGGACCCTCACAGAGCTTCTGTGGATTTACTCTGTGAAGCCCAGGCTGATCACCCAGATCCCACAGAATCCCTCATGGCTCACCACTGAGGCCATTCCCCCTCTGGTTGGGGCAGGCAACAACCAGAGAGAGAGGGAAGGGTTAGTTAAATTTGGGGGCAGGTAAGTAGCTTTTAAATTATATATCCATTTCTGCAGTATAGCATGTGAAGCTGTGGGCTAAACTATTAAGAAATCTAATAATGAGTTTTAAATAACATTTTTAATTAGTGCATGCCAGGTATTCTTTTCTGATTTTTTTCCCACAGTAATATACTCTTAAATCTGTGCGTGCTCTATCGCTGTCTCTCTTTCTCTATATACAATATATATATAAAATCTAGGGTACAGTAAGAAAATTATGCAGAAAATTTAATGGACTTATAATTGTTCCATTGTGCATGTTCTGTAGTCATTTACATTAAAATTTTAGAATAGTTTGGGTATAATACTTTTTCTGTGCGTTTAACTATTGCTCTAGAAGCAAACAGATTGAGTAGAAATTTAGAACCTGGTAGTTTACAAGTGAAGATTTATATATCTATAAAATTATGTTTATGTATTTACCCTGAATATTTGTTGTATGTTGTGTTTTAGGAGTGTAAAGCTGTTACTCTAGCTGTGCAGCCACGTTTACTTGATATCCTTTCAGAACATTTATATTATGATGAAATTGCTGTTCCATTCACACGAATGCAGAATGAATGTAAACAGCTTATATCCTCATTAGCTGATGTACATATTGAAGTTGGTAATAGAGTAAACAACGTTTTAACAATAGATCAAGCTAATGACCTGGTGAGTAAAAACGTGACTTTTAAAATCTTAGTGCATGAAATAAATGTTAGAAATTGATCATGATATGTTTATCACAAAAATAGTAATTTGTCGACTGTAGCTTGGTAACCTGTTATTTCTACCCTTTAGAAAGTGTATTTCATTATATTGAGTTTTCTTGAAATGGGAGGATAAATAAGGAAATTTTTTAAAAACTCAATTTCCTGAACATTTGTCCTCCCTGTTCCCAGCTTAAAATGAAAATACTCAGATGTACCGAAAAAGTGAAAGAATTACACAGTAAGCACTTGTATACTTAGCAATTAAATTATGTGGCTTGTATTTTAGTAAGTGTGCTTTTTCTAATATATATTCAAATATCCACCCATTTTTAACCATCAATGCATCTTTTAATGTATTTCTAAGTACATTTCAAATATTAGTGTGCTTTAGTATACTGTATATATAATAAAGTAAAATTCAGTATTTATGATTTTTTTCCTCTTCCGACGTAAAATTTATATACTAGTATGTACCCTCAGCCGTGTATGTGGTCTTTTAAAAATAAAAGTAAACATACACCAAACTTAGCATTTAATAATTCTTGGACTTAAGTGGACAGTGTAATGAATTTTCACAGATATATATGTATATGAAACTCAAACATCCTATCAAAATAGAGAGCATTATCATTACCACTTCCTAGTCAATCCTTTCTTCTTCTTGCTCTTAGTAACCATTCTGACTTTACCCCTATAATTTAATTCTTCATATTCTAGAAATTTCTATAGGTGGAATCATACACTGTACTCTTTAAGGATTTTTTTAGCATTTTGTTCTCAAAATTCATGTTATGTGTATTAATTCATTTTTATTGCCAAGTTTTCTTATATTTAATGAATATACTACAAGTTGAAGTCATTCTACTGATGAGAACTTGGAGAACTCTTCCCAATTTTTGGCTATTGTGAACAATATAGGATAATATAGGAATTAAACTATTGAGTTGTAAGTTAGGTATGTGTTTACTTTTATTTTAAAAAGACCACACAGAGGTCTGAGGTATAGTTTAGTGGTAGAATGCTTGTCTAGGATGCATGAGGCCCTGGTTTTTTATTTTTTTGTATGTTTTTTGTATACTGGAGACTGAATCCAGGGCTTCAAGCTTGCTACTAAACAAGTGCTCTGCCTCTGAGCTACCATTCCCCAATACGACCACCACTCCCCTCTTTTAAATTTTAAGACACGTTTCAGTAAGTTGCTTGAGCTGGCCTGCAATTTAGGATCCTCCTTTAAGCCTCCCAAGTAGCTAGAATTACAGACATGTACCACAATCCCTGGCAAAGGCCTGGATTTGATCCTAACACTGAGAAAAAAAACAATTTAAGAAGTTACAGATCTTTTTCTAAAGTGATTATATTGTTTTACTCCCTGAATGACAGTATTTGAAGGTTCTCATTGTTCCACATCATCACCAATATTTGGTATGATCACTCCCTTTAAGTTTAGCCATTCTGTGGTTGTGTGATAATGTCATTATAGTTTTTATTTTTCACTTCCCTGATGATGAATATGTTGAGCATTTTACATTTTCTTTGCTATTGGCACATCTTCCTTTCAGAAATGTCTTCACCTTTTTTGTCAACTTTTAATTGGGTTATCTGTCAGTTTTAGGAATTCTGTATATATCCTGATCATCAGTTCTTTGTCAGAGATAGATGCTTCTGAGTATTTTCTGATAGTATGTGAATTAACTTTTAATTTTCTTACTGGTAGTCTGGTGATTTTTGGAGATACTTTAGAATTTTGTTGAAATCTAAAGTATTTGTTGTTTCCTTTATACTTATTGGATTCTGTGATGTGAGGAACCTATTACTATCTCTAAGTAGTGAAAGAATTTCTAAAGTTTTTTAGTATTTATATATGTATGTACGTATGAATATATGTTTTATTTGTGGGGCAGAGGATCAAACCCAGGTCCTCAAATATGCTAGGCAAGCACTCTAATATTGAGCTATAACTCCAGCTTTCTGTCTTGAATTAATGTTTGTGTATAGTGTTAAGTATAGATTGAGGTTTTCCATCTAGATATCTCATTTTCAGCATCATTTATTGAAAAGACTTCCCCCATTGGATTCCTATGGCATCTTTGTAAGAGATCAACTGAAGTTTAAGTATAGATCTATATCTTGGTCTAATTGGTCAGTTTGTCTCCTTTTACCATCCCCAGCAATGTCTTGATTATTGCAGCTTTGTACTTAGTTAAGTCTGTGAGGTTTGGTATATAAGTAAATTCTACCTAATAGGATCAGAAATTGAGCACTTCGTTTGTGTTTAGCCCAGTGAAATAATGTTCTTTTTTTTTTTCCCCCTTTCTAACTGAAGAAATAGTAATTTTTTCTTTTCTCTTAGAAAAAGTTAAATTTGCCATCTTTACCTGAATTCTTTTTGTAAGATTCTCTTCCTGATTGTTTTTCTATAAATATTTTTTGGGGGGTCCTCACCCCGTTGTCTAACTAGAGTTAAATTGCTCAAATGTTATGGTTGGAGTCCCTTTTATTCCTTTAACATCATTGTTGTTTTTCATTGGTACTAGGGATTGATGCGGGATTGCTGAACTCTACATCCCTATCCCTTTGAAAAAATTTTGGGATAGCCTTCCTAAGTTGACTAGGCAGGCTTTAAACTTGTGATCCTGCCTCAAGCCTCCCAAGTAGCTGAGATTACAGGCATGCCCCACTGCACTGGCTTCAAGATAGTATTATTAGCCGGGCGTAATGGTGCACGCCTGTAATCCCAGCATTCAGGAGGCTGATGCAGGAGGATTGTTGTGAGTTCAAGAACAGCGTTTGCTACAAAGTGAGTTCAAGGCCAGCCTGAACTGCATAGTGAGACCCTGTCTCAAAAAGACCAAAAATAAATAAATAAATAGAAATCTTATTATTCAGGCCCCTTACTGTTCTTTTTCATCAGTCTAATGCTTTTGATCTAGAATAGAAGATAAGCATAAATATCGGAATATCTGCAAGAAAGTATTGAGGCCAGGGTCATTTTATAAGGTGCTTTAGCTAAGAGCCATTTCCCTTTGTATCTTTCATAATCTTTTATGTTCTTCCATTAGACATTTTTATTCGGATTATCTCACTGTTACTTCAAACTTAACCACATTGGGGATTTTCTTTAACAGAAAAATGCCCTTTTTTATCCACACTTGTAAATTTTGCCAGCATTTTCTTTCAGGAAGTTGCATGTTTTTATTCTTTCTACTTCCACTGGCACAGCCAGGTCTTGGTGGTTTATATCTGGATCTTGACTGCTCTCAAAGGTATCAATCAGGCAATCTCTGGTCCATTTAATCCTATTGCTGTACTAGATCTTAATAGTCCTTTAGTTCCTCTTCGATCACATCCTTCTGCTTAAAAACATTATTTTTCTTTTCCTTTTCCTTTTTTCTCAGTTTTTTCTTTCCTTCATCACCTTTCTAAATTCCCTCTTTTCTACTCATTAATTCTCAAAGTTCATATAACCAAGCTGTTAGCTTTCTTCTTCAGTACATCATAGCATAGTGTAGAAGAAGCATCATACTTCTACAGTACATCATACTATTTGAAGTACATCGTACTCGCTCTTCTGTGGTTCATTTGCTCTTGTTTCTATGCCTGATCTCCATTTTCTTTTGCCAGAAATTTCTTAACCATAACCCCCCCAAAAAAATGCAGAATTTTTTTTTTTGAGACGGGGTTTCACTATGCAGTTCAGGGTGGCCTTAAATTCACTATGTAGTCCAGGCTAAAAACTGGACTGAAACTCGTGGTAATCCTCCTGCCTCAGCCTCCCAAGTGCTGGGATTACAGATGTGCATTACCACACCCGGTGCTGAATTCTTTTCTTGACAGTCATTCATTTGCACCTTGTGCTCAGGCTATGATAAACTGTTCGCAATTCCTCACATCTGTGTTTGCACAGATGTGTTTCTAACCTGATTTATTCATTCTTTAAAAACCAGGCAAAGCTATGTGCCTATAATACAGCTACTCTGGAATCTGAGGCGGGAGGATCTCTTGAGTCCAAGAGTGAGATCTTTCCTTAAAATAAAAACAGTAACAAGCAAATGTTAACTGCCTCTGGCAAGTCTCCACTAATCTCTTTTCCTAAAAAGAGTAAAGCAGCTCTATGTATTCCCATAGCAGTTTGCCTTTACCTTCCCTCAGTGATGTTTTACCTTGTCTTGCTTTACTTATGTATTTTTCTTCCACATAACTAAACGTATTTTTTGAGTATATTAAGACATTGGCTTACACATCTTTTAGTTAATAAGTATTGTTAGTAAATATTGGTTATATTGTTAAGTGGTTGAATTAATTGAGAAGCTTTTCCTCAGTTATCTACAATCATTGAAAGTTGACATAAATTTAGAGTATTTAAGACATTTTCAGACTTAGCAGTATAATCCTGTTCCAAATAAGTCTTGTATAGAACTCAAAACAGACAAAGCAAAGTGGTAAGTATAAGCTAGAAATTGTCTGTCTGTGGTGAGGAGATTGACATGGTCCTACACATACAGTTTAATTTGAACTGGGTGTGGTGGCACATGCCTGTAATCCCAGCACCCTGAATGGAGGTTGAGGCAGGAGGAGGATTGTTGCAAGTACAAGGCCAGCCTGGACTACGTAGTAGGTTTAAGGACAGCCTGAACTGTATAGCAAGACCTTGTCTCCAAACAAACACACAAAAAAAGCCCCTAAAACAGATACAGTTTAACTTGGTAATTTATAATAATAAAATTTTCTGTAATCCCAACTATTCAAGAGGCTGAGACAGGCTCACAAGTTGAGACAGAGTCTAGGTATGTAGTTCAGACTGGCCTTGAATTCACTGTGTAGTTCAGACTGACCTCAAATTCATGATGATTCTCCTGCCTTAGCTTCCCAAGTGCTGGGATTACAGGTGTGTGCAACACTCCTTCTCCTACAAATAAAAAAGGCTAGGAATGTAGCTCAGTGGTAGATCTCTTGCCAACGATGTTTAGGGCCCTGGATCCTCAGTATGGGAAAAAAAATGAAAAATCTTGTGGGCTTTTTGGTTTTCATAATAACAGCATTGTCAGTGTTGTTCACAATGAAATCTAAACCATAAAATTTAGGTTCTTCATTAAAAAGAAATTAGGTTCTCTAATGTTACAGGCTTTTCTGATCTGTAAGGATCAGATTAGATCTGTTTATAGATGCTCTTAATCGTCGCAGTTACCTAATCAAGACTTTTTGTTATATAAATCACAACAATCTTTATGTAAATGTTCAGAGAACATTATTCATGGTAGCAAAAAAGTAGGAACAATCCAAATGTCAAACAACTGATGAAAGGGAAAGTATAGTATATAGCATAAATTTGTATAGTGAAATAGTCAACCAAAAGGAATGAAATATTGATACATACTACCACATGGGTGAACATTTATGACATTGTGCTAAATGAATGATACCGGGCACAAATGATTACATATTATATTATTGCATTTATTTGAAATATCCAAAATAGACAAATAAAAAAAAAAATAGACAAATCTGTGAAGAACATAGTTAAACAGATTCCCTAGGGCCGAGGGAAAATGAACAGTGATTATTAATAGGTATATATTTTCTTTGTGAAGTGATGAAAATATTTTAAAATTTTGATTCACAACCTGCAGTATACTAAAAACCACTAAATTGTACACAAGTGGGCTCATTTTATGGTATATAAATTATATCTTAGTAAACTTTTAAAAAGGTGGAGCAAACAGTCTAAAGGAGGCTTGTAAGATAGTCTAGAAGAACAGTTTGTAACCTTAGATATCTCTGGGCAACTAAAAAGATAATGGCTAATGCATCGTTTTTCTTCTTCTCCATTTCCTAATGCCTTAGCATTTCCTCCAGAACAAAAGTCAGACAATGAATGAAAATAATTCACTTAGCAACACTTAGCCATGTAGCAGACAGCTACCCTAAAGGTTTTTATGAGTTTTTGAGTTGAGAATATTTTTCCTAAAAAGAAGTTTGTCAGTGTTGATTTTCCTTTATTAATTTTTGATATTCCTTAACTATATCCTTAATTAAAATTCCTTAATTAAACTTAGTTAACATTTAGTTTATATTTGTTTATAGCTTTATCATTTCACCAAGTACTCTGTGGTTATTGAATGTGATTTTCCTCAAACAAATTAGATATATTTAAAGGATGGTAATTTCATTCCTCTAGAGAATATATCTTAAAAATATATACTCTTAATGTTAAGTTAAGTCAGGTTAAAATACATGTTAGGAAGTTTTAGATATTTGTTTAGTTTGCTGAGTACTGAAACTACACTATATATTGTGAAACTTACAAGTGAAAACTTCAGTCTGCTGTTTAGGAGTTTACAGTCTGTTTGGGGTTGATGTCATTAATGATTTTTTAATTTCTTTTTTTTTATTAGGTCACTACTGTTTTTAATGAAGCCACATCAACTTACGATTTAAATCCTCAAGTGTTACAGCAGTTAGATGGTAAACGACAGCAGGTCCAAATGACAGTTACAGAGACAAACCAAGAGTGGCAAGTGTTGCAGTTGAGAGTGCATACTTTTGCTGCATGTGCGGTTGTGAGCTTGCAGCAGCTTCCAGAAAAACTAAATCCTATCATAAAACCACTAATGGAGACAATTAAAAAAGAAGAGAATACACTAGTACAAAACTATGCAGCTCAGTGCATAGCTAAACTTCTTCAGCAGTGCACAACAAGGACACCCTCTCCTAATTCAAAAATTATTAAAAACCTCTGTAGCTCACTTTGTGTGGATCCATACCTGACTCCTTGTGTAACATGTCCAGTACCAACACAGAGTGGCCAGGAAAATTTGAAAGGTATAAATCTAAACCTTTATTTAGGGTAGAGAAATTAATTTACTTACAGATATAATTTAAGTACAAATCTAGTTTATGATAGAGCTATTTCCCATTTTGAGAGAAAAAAAGATTGGTTATAGCAATTCCTTGTTACATTAATTTGCACATATTGCTAATCAGTTACAACTGTCTGAATGCCAGTAAGTCATTCATAGGAGACCTGATGTCTGAAGTAAGGTGCTGAAATGTATGGGACAAATACTCAGCCTTCCTTCGCCTTCAAAACCTTCACTGTATGGCTGTTATAACAGCTAGAAAACTTAATTGTGTCAAACGCTAGTTAATGAAAGGTTTTCCTACAGTATTTGGTTTTCTTTAGTACTTCTTTTATGAAATGAGCGAACTCTACTTAGTAAATAATACTTAACCAGTTTTTCTGTTTTCATTTGGAGATTTTATATGGAAAACATCTGCTTTTATTAGGCTGATCTCAAAGGCCAGTGTTCCTTCACATTAGTCCTATTATTTACTTATTTATTTATTTGGGTACCGGGAATCAAACTCAGGACTTTGTGCTTTCAGGCAGGCACTGTGCCACTGAGCTATATCCTGGGCCCCTGTTTATTTTGTTGTTAATAAGATTTTAGAAAAAATACTGAAAGTAGAATGGATTTATAACTTCGGCACAATACAGATCTTGGGAAAAAATGTAAATGAATTGGAAGAAAATAGACATTTTGAGAATTAACCTTAAAACATAGGCTCATGTCTCAACTCCTCCTTTATTGAATGTGAGGCATCAATATGTGGTAGTGGTCAGTGTTTTTCTGAGTTTATTGTGACTATGGGCTTTTTTGTGTGTGAGTGCGGTACCAGAATCGAATCCAGGTATGCTGTACCACTGAGCTGTATTCCAGTTCTTATTTTTATTTTGAGACCAGAACTCACTTCTCCTATATCAGGCTTCCTGAGAACTGGGATTACATTTGTGTGCTGCTGCAGTTAGCTCTAAGGGCTTCTTTTAAAGAGAAAACTTATTTGAAATATTTTAATGTTTCCTTTGCTTAGGCCAAACATTCCTGTGTTTGATATTTCTTACTGATAATATCTATATGTGATACTACAGCTTTGAGTGCATTAGGTATAAAACACGCAAATAGACTTATTGCCATTTCACTGCCTAAAAAAATGTCATCGGCCTATAAAAATTGAGACCCTGCTGGGCGTGGTAGCACATGCCTACAGTCTCAGCACTTGGGAAGCTTGAAGCAGGAGGATTATGGAGAGTTTGAGGCCAGTATGTGCTATGCAGTGAGCTCCAGGCCAGCCTAAACTATATAGCTGGACCATGTCTCAGAAAACTCAAAAATAAGCCTTAAGAGCAGTCTAAATATTTGTTGTGTTTCTTTGGGAGTAGAAAACATTAGTCATCTATATTATGATTAAAAGGTTAACTTTTTCTCTTACTAGGATCCAACTCAGAAAAAGATGGAATGCACCATACTGTCACCAAGAACAGAGGTATAATTACACTCTATAGGCATCAGAAAGCTGCTTTTGCTATTACAAGTAGGCGAGGTCCTACTCCCAAAGCGGTAAAAGCTCAAATAGCAGATCTTCCTGCAGGAAGTAGTGGGACTATCCTTGTTGAACTTGATGAGGTAAATAGTTTTTTGATTTGAATGCTTTGATTTTTTTTTTATACAAATATCTAGCTTACAGATTGAAAAATAAGTTCTCATGTGTGCTTCCAGAACTGTATTTTTGTACTTAAAAGGGAAAGGATGGATATTAGTAGCCTTTTGGAGTACTGTAGCAACATGATCCAGAAAGATAGTAAACTTTAAATTTCTCATACCTCTTGTAATTTTTACCAGCTTAACTTTATCTTCCTAGACAGGATACCCTCTTAATGGTGAGCACATAAACTATTTGTAAGTACAAACTAATTTACTCTCATAGTGTTGACAATGAAGAAGATACTAAACTACCATAAAAATTTAATTTTCTGAATCTTACCAGTCAAGAATTCCCATTAATATTCAGAGAATAATTCCACAAATGTCAAGTCATTGCCATTTATCTTTTAGTCAGTCTAGAGTTTATTTACATGTGTGGTATGAGAGTAGGGATCTAAACTTGACTTTTCTGCAATTAGCCAATCACTGCACTATTGAATCCTTTCTTTGATATGTAATGATACCACCTCTGTTATATATCATGCTTTGTATTTGTGAGGATTTATTTTGTACTTGCTATTCTGCTCCACTGGTCTTTCTATTCTACCTTACAAATTTATTTAAAAACATGATAACCAATGGTAAAAGAAGCATTTGGTTTTGAAAATCCACACCCCGCTCCCATACTGGGAATCGAGCTCACGACCTTATGCTTGCCAGGCAGGCGCTGTGCCGCTGAGCTAAATCCCCAGCCCCTGGTTTTGAAAATCTTAAAAATCACATTATTAATGGAAAAGATTCTCTAGTTATTTTTGACTGTAAGACATAGGAATTTATCTGGGTTCAGTAGTAAAATGTCAATGCCAAAAGATATTTTTCTGTAAAATATAAGCCTATTTAAATCAACATTTTAGGACATTTACCTATATTTCTTATAAAACATTCTTTTGAGTCTGGCTTATTTCACTTAACACGACCCTGGTTTCATCTTTTTTTTTTTTTTTTTTTTTTTTTGTCTTTTTGAGACAGGATCTCACTATGCAGTTGAGGCTAGTCTTGAACTCACTTTGTAGCCCAGATTGGCCTCGAACTCACAACAATCCTCCTGCTTCAGCCTCCTGAGTGCTGGGATTATAGGCATGCGCCACCACACCCAGCTCCCATCCATTTTCATAACTGAAAAATATTGCATTGTGTGTGTTATGTGTGTATATATATAATCTCACATTTTTTATACATTCATCTGCTGATAGGTACCTAGGCTGTTTTCATATCTTAGCTTGTATGACTTGTTCTCTAATAAACACAGGTACACAGGTATCCCTATAGTATGCTGACTTTTAATTTTTTTGAGTATATACCGGCAAGTGATATACATAGATTCATATGGTAGTTGAATTTTTAGTATTGTGAAGAACATTTTTACTTCGATTCTTGCTGTTATTTCAGAATTCTATTCAAGAGGGCTTTGCCTGTGCCTATGTACTTCAGACATTTTTCCTGTTTTATTCTGGCAGTAGCAGGTCTTACACCTTGGTCTTTCATACATTTTGGACTGATTTATTTTCAAAGTGAGAGAGATTTAGTTTTAGTCTTCTACGTATGGATATCCAGTTTTCCTACAAACGTGTGATAGGCTGTTTTATCTCCAAAGTATTTTTTGGCTCCTTTGATGAGAATCAAATGGCTGTAGTTGCATGGCTTTGTTTGTGTCTACTGTTACTCCGTTGGTTTGCATGGCTCTTTTTATGCCAACACCATGCAGTTTTTGTAACTATGGCCATGTAGCTAAATTGGGTGTCATGATGCCTCCCACCTTGTTCGTTTTGCTTAGGATTATTTGTTCTGGGTCTTTTATGTTGCCATATGTTTAAGAATTTTTTTTTATTTGTTTGTTTGCTTGGTTTGGTTTGGTTTTTTGAGACAGGATTTCCCTATCTAGTTCAGTCTGGCCCTGAACTCACTATATAGCCCAAGCTGGCCCTGAATTCGTAGCAGATCTTCCTCCCTCAGCCTCCATAGTGCTGGGATTATAGCCGTGTACTATTAGTGCCCGGCGCTATATGAATTTTAGGATTTTGATGGGGATTGATACAGACTTAATGTTGAATAGATGGAAAGTCCCTCCTGGAAAGGGGAGATGGCCCTGCTTTTAACATTTTAATAGTATCCTGCCAGTCCATTTTCTAGTGTGTTCAGTTTCTTTCCTCGAAGTTCAGTAATTGTCATTGTAGAGGTCTTTCACCTTCTTGGTTAGGTTGATTCCTAGGCGTTTTATTGTTCTTTGAAGAGACTGTGAATGGGATTGTTTTCCCGATTTCTTTCTTAGCTAGTTTATTATTGATGTATAGAAAAATTACTGGTTTTTTAATATTGACTTTGTATCCTATACTTTTTTATATTTATACTCCTATAGTTTGTAAAGCTCTTCTTCCACTTTAATTTAATAAGTGTGTATATGTGTACACATGTGTTTCTGCTTGGCAAGACAGTTTTGTGGACTAATTATTGCCAAATAAGAAATTGTCAATCTTAGGCATAGCTTAAGCGTGCTCTTACTATGTTTCTTAAGTGAATATCAAAAAGGACATACCATTTCATCTCTGACAGTTTCTTTAGTGCAAGAAAAGGAAGAAAAACACACCATCTAAGACTGTCTTTTGGAATCACATATGTCCTTTGAGTCCTGCCCTCAACCCCAAAATACTTTATTTTGGGCATAAAAAAAATCTATTTAGGAATTTTAGGCTCTAAATTTAATTATTGGAAAATGTTATAGTTGTCATAAATAGGTCTATAACTGCTTCATTGTTCAATGGAAATGTTATGAATTCTAAATTCTCTCGATAAAATTGGAAATGCATTATACTTTCTTTCTAAAATTTTGTGTTCAACTAACATTTAATTTCAGGCCCAGAAGCCTTACCTAGTACAGCGGAGAGGAGCTGAATTTGCTTTGACCACTATAGTGAAGCATTTTGGAGGTGAAATGGCAGTGAAGTTGCCACATCTCTGGGATGCTATGGTTGGCCCACTGAGGAATATAATTGATGTAAATAATTTTGGTATGCACATGTTTTTCTAAGTTTGCATTTTAACAGATTTCAGTGTGTAGCAATTAAATATATCCTTATAAGGTAAAAATGCTCCTACTTACTCATACCAGCAAGTTTTAAAATGAAAGGTTTGTGAAAACATTTATTTTTAAATTTATTTTCATTGTGCTTTGTATACTTTTTGCTTTTTCTATATTTAAAAAGATATTTGAAATGGAATACTATTTTTAACTTTGGTTCTTTGTAGTACCCCATCACTTAAATTAAAATCATGGCATTTAAACACAGCAGTTTGACTCCTATACTATTGGGAAAGTTGCTAAGCTTTTGGAGGGCTATAAATTTTTAAAAACTATTTGCCAAGTGATACAGACTTAATGTATTTGAATAGATGGAAAGTCCCTCCTGGAAAGGGGAGATAGCCCTGCTCAAGAATTGGTGAATTCTCTGCAAGTTTTTGAAGTAGCAGCAGCTTCAATGGATTCTGAACTTCATCCCTTGGTAACTATAGAATTTCTTCAAATAAACAAATGGTCTTCCTAAAAAAAAAATCTTGAGACTTGGAAAGTGTAACTAGATGTCATTCCCAGTAATTGCATTTTTATTTTATATGATGCAACTATATTCCTCCTTTATGGATAGTACAACTCTTCTGGGCTTTGTGAGCTAGATATGTGAATGATAGAAGCATTTAGTCTGAAAGCTCAGAATGTGGGGCATTTTGGAAAGGACTGATGACACCAGAGCTAGGTATAAATAAACAGAAGAAAAATCTATAGCCCTTTTCAGACAATCCTAACAGTGTAGCTCCAAGAAAGGAAGAACACAGGTAATAAGACTATTTCCAGCATAAGTATAAATGTAGAAGGAAATTACCTGCCTCAGATAAAAGTGATCAGCAGTAAAGACAGAACACTGCTTTGTGTTATTTTTTAAAAAGTATTATAAAAGAATTAGTACAGAGCAGGGAGGAAAATAGAGAATCAGCTTGTTTGCTCATAGAAGAAAGTATTATTCTTTCCCTATATCTGCATTAGGAGGCTCTCTGCAATTTATACCATCACAGAGGGTTCTGGCTTTAATTCTTTATTGCTCACTATCATATGAAGACTCATAAAAATAAATCTAGAAAATAGAGAATGAAACTTGCCTCTGTGTTTTGTAATAAGGTATGTCCTTTTACTCAAAGTTTTGCTGGTAGCCAGGCATGGTGGTACACGCCTGTATCCCCAGCACTCAGGAGGCTGAGGCAGGAGGACTGCTGCAAGTTTGAGGCCAGCCTGGGCTGCTAAGTGAGTTCAAGGCCAACCTGAACCGCATAGTGAAATCCTGTTTCAAAAAGATCCCATCCCCGTGAAAAAAACTGCCAATAAACTGGGCAGAGTGGCAGATGCCAGTAGTCCCAGCTTCTTGGGAAACTTAAGGCATAATGATTGCTTGAACCTAGGAGTTCAAGGTTTTTGTTTTTTGTGTGTGTGTTATCATTGTTTTTTTACTTACAATTAGTAAAAAAAGACAAAATCCCTCTGTGTCCACTTCCATGATTTGTAAGTTATTTTCAGCTGAATTAATAAGGCGAGTGTGTTGAGGTACTTGGCTGGCATCATTAATCTTGGTATTCCATGCAGCAGATATATAATAATGGCATGCTTTTTCGCTGTTGCAGTCATAACACCTACGATAAGCCAGAAAGTGGAAAATACCCACCAAAATGTAATACCTAAAGCTAAATCAAGAGCAGTGAATCTAGTGAATGTACATAAACCTAAACAGTTGCTTCCAAATCTAGAGGAAGCTAGTGATCTTTGGTGCCATTTTCCCAGTCTAGAGGGAGAATCTTGAAAAAGTGACTTTTCACGTCTCTTCTGTTGATTTTAGAAAGAACTGAGTATTTCTGCAGACCTAAGAGAGAATATTGAGCAGGGGAGAAGTTCTGTAACATTCCTTACTTTTCTTTTTGAAAGAGTTATAAACATTAATGTGACTTTAAGTTTTCTCTTGAGGATGCTTTGAATTATTTGGAGATACTTCTAGATTTAGAGTCACATGGCATAGGGCCATCTCTGAGTAGGAATTATTATAGTTATATTTAAACCATAGATTCCCTAGTGAATACTCTGATTGTCTTTAACTTTTTATTTGTAGTTGGTGCAGCATTTGCCTCATCTGTATATGTGCCTTCAGTATCCCAGCACTGCCGTGAGGCACATGGCTGCTCGTTGTGTAGGTGTCATGAGCAAAATAGCTACCATGGAAACAATGAATATTTTTTTGGAGAAGGTGCTTCCATGGCTTGGAGCAATTGATGACAATATCAAACAAGAGGGAGCAATTGAAGCTCTTGCCTGTATCCTTTTTTATTTTGACAAACTAGAAATTTTATTCATTTTATTAAATGATGGCTAAATTATAACTGAGTTGTTAAAACAGCACATAACTTGCTTTATTGGAGAAACTTCAAATTTTATTTTAAAGTATTTTACACTTCTTTACAATGCATTACAAACATGTTTTGTTTAGACTTTTTTATATTGAATGTTTAAAGAATTACTAATTTTAAGACAGGTTTGTAATAAGCAGAATGGATTTATGTACTTTTAAACTAGTCACCAATCTACTTATTTGGCTTATAATTAATATTTGATTAGTATTCAAGTGTTAGGTAAGTAGTGCCTACCTACTATATTCATAGGATGTTTCCAAACTTTATTCATTTCTTGAGTGTAAAACAACCAAAATGTACTGTACTATATAGCTAGAAAAAACATAGCCAAGCCTGTTAAGGAAATGGCAGCTATTCTTTACCTTGAAGTATCTGAAAGACATTTCTCAAAGCAAAGAAGATGAAGATCCGTTCAATGGAAACCTTGTTTAAAAATGCTTAAGATTATAGGAGGATTGCACTTACTAGGTGTACTCTATCCAGTTGGTGATTGTCAATATCCTGGTGGAATTAATGTTTGGTGAGTTGTGCTCCCTTAATTACCATGTGGCTCACTGTATTCTGGCATTGGCATTCCAGAAACTTTAAGGAATTTCTCTGTTTAAAACTTACTAATAAAACTTCTTCCAGCCCTTTTAAAATAATAAACATAAGGCTAGGCATAATGGCACAGGCCTATAATCCCAGCTCTCAGGAGGCTGAGGCAGGAGGATTGCTGCGAGTTCAAGGCCAGCCCGAACTGTGTAGGAAAACCCTGCCTCAAAAAAACCATAAAAAAGATAATAGACATAGTTTATAGTTTCAATCATGGGAAAACTACATCATGTTTTCAAAAGAGCAACAGTATGTAAATGCTGTTATAATGGCATCATAGTTCTTGAGTCATTCTCTTCACCCATAGTACAGATGAGAAAATGAAGTACCTCTTTAGAAATAACAGTCTTAAAGTGGGTTAATTTGTGAAAACATCGATCTCAAAACCATCTAGAAATTTCCTTAACCATGTATTCAGGTGTAATGGAACAACTGGATGTGGGTATTGTTCCATATATTGTCCTGTTAGTTGTTCCTGTGTTAGGAAGAATGAGTGACCAGACAGACAGTGTGAGATTCATGGCTACACAGTGCTTCGCAACACTAATTAGACTCATGCCACTTGAGGTAAGTTGAAGATACTTGGTTTGTTAATTTAAAGAACATACCAGCTTTTAAAAAAGCATTCTTTAAAAATGTTAATGTTATATGCATTAAGCTTTTAATACTTTAATAGGTACTTTTTTAAAAAATCACAGTTTTAATTTAAAACAACAGTGAATACTCATTGATGCTATTCTAGAAATGTAAATGTTCTAAAGTTTCTCTGTGCCAAAGTGTAAAATGAAAGGTAAGTTTGCAATAGTAATTAAAACCATAAAAAGCAAGTGGAATTTCTGTGGAAGTATGTCACAAAACTAAAATACTCACGTTGAAACATGTTGGAGTACATTCATGTGGTAGAAATAGTATGTGTGGCCAGTGCAGGAAATAGAAGTGTCTTGAAGCAAGAGACAAGCCTGTATCCTGCCACCAGGCAGCTTGTAATATTTTCATGGGATTGATGTAATTCAGGAAATAGATATATATGTTGTCCATGCTCCAGGATGTATCAGTACTTTTTATTGTGCAGTAGCATTCCATTATATAGATATATAACATTTTGTTTATCTGTTCATCAGTTGACTGGTGTTTGGATTGTTTCCAGTTTTTGACTATTATGAATAACTCTACTGTGAACACTTTATTCACAATATATGTTCATTGACATATGTTTATTTACAATATGTTCATCTACTATGAACACAGCACACTTAAAAGTTTTTGAGACAAGCTTTGTGTATCTCAGACTAGCCTTGAACTCACTATTCATTCCAGGCTGGTCTCAGACTTGCAGTGATCCTCCTGACTCAGCCTCTGGAGTGCTGGGATTACAAGTGTGCACCACGATTCCTGGCATTTACTGTATAAATAGTGTTTTCATATACTGTATGAAAAGTGTGGGTATTTATTGCTTTTAAGTAAATAGCTGAATGAAATTGCCAAGTCACATAGTAAGTGTAACTTTTAAGGTAAACTTCAAACTATTCCAAATAAATGTACCATTTTACATTCCTACCACCAGGTATGAGTATAGCTTGGATAGCTTATTTTAAAAAATGTGGCTGTATCAGATCAAATTGAAGACACACATCCTCGTGACCAAGCAAATCCATTCTATATATATAACCTACAGAAACTCAACACATGTGCCAAGATACATTTTCAAGAATATTTATTACAGGATTATTTAGAATAGTCTAAAATTGGAAACCTCTCAGATATTGACAAACAGTAGATAATGTATTTAACTTGTAGACTGTCATATTTTAACAAAAATAAACTGCAGACATATACAATAATATTGATAACTTTAACATAGGGTTCTACTTTTATGAAGTTGAACACACAGAATAAAAGTACAAAGAAAAGAAACAAAGAAATTACCATAGATGTCAGTCAAGTGATTTCCTTTGGGGGGAAAAGGAGGTGCTTTATGATTGCTAAGGAGCTTTATCAAATTATTCAGTTATCATATATTTCCCTGCATACATATTTTATGTCACACTAAAAGTATTAAAGTAACAAGTATAACAAAAAAAAAAAAATACTAGACCAGTGTATCAAAGACTTTGGTATCATTTCCAGAATTTCCAAATACATACTATATTCAGTGTAGTCAGCATGCTGTGCAGTAGATCTATAGGTCATATTCATCCTAAATGAAATCTTGTACTTCAACCAACATCTCCCATTTTTTTTCCCATATTTTCCCTCCCAGCAACCCCTTGAACACCACCATTCTACTCTCTGCTTCTCTGTTCGTTTCACTTTTTTAGATTTCACATGTGATTGAGATCATGCAGTATCTTTCTGTCCCTAGTTTATTGTACTAAACAGTATCCTCCAGGTTCATCCATGTTGTAGTAAATAAAAGAATTTCATTTTGTGTGTGTGTATTAATCGTATTTTTTAAAGAGTTTTACCTGTTCTATCTTCCTGCAGATTTAATGTTTCTGTTCTAATATTTAGATTTTTTATCCATTTCGAATTCAGTTTAGTGCATGGCAAAAGATATGGATCCAGTTTTAATCTTTGGCATGTCCAGAGCCAGTTTTTCCAGCACCATTTATTAAAGAGGCTGTCTTTTTTTGAGTGAATGTGTTTGCATCTTGGTCAGAAATAAGGTGGCCTGGTATGTTGGGAGCTGTTTCTGCATCTTCTAATCTGTTCATTGATCTTTGGGTCTGTTTTTTTTTTTTTTTTTGCCAATACCGTGCTGTTTTTATCACAGTAGCTTTATAGTATAATTTCAAGTCAGCCATTGTGATGGCCCTCCCTTGCCTTTGTAGTCTAGAATTGCCTTTGCTGTTCTAAGTCTTTTCTGGTTCCAAATGAATTTTAGGATTGTTTTCTCTTATTCTGTGAGATATGCTGTTGGAATTTTGATTGGAATTGCATTAAATCTGTATAATAGTGTTGGAAGTATGGCCATTTTCACTATATTGGTTCTTCCTGCCTAAGAGCAAGGGATAACTTTACATTTTCTGATACCTTCTTCAAATCTCCTTGTTCAGAGAGTATATAGTTTTCAATGTAGAAGTCTTTTATATCCTTCATTAGATTGATTCCTAGGTATTTCATTTCTTTGGATGCTGTTGTGATGTTACAGCAGAAATTTCCCTGGCACAAATTGGGCTGTATTCCACAAGTGACCCAAGTCTATTGAGAACAAAACCAGAGTTTAATTTGAGGCTAGCCATCCTCACTTCCCTTGCCAATCTGGAAGCGGGCAATGGCTAACTTTGTTTCACCTTATATACATTTTGGTTTCCATTGGCAACAGATTGGGATGTTACATTTGCTGACCCCGGTGGGCATATGGTGTTTCTCTCATCCTGTTGGACCCCAGGTCAGTTGCAGGTCGCATGTCTAACCATGATAGGTGCTTCCCCCATTATATTCCATTTGTCTCCTTTTTTACAACCTATGCATTCCTTTAGGGTTACAATGTTTACCTAGGGCCAGGAGATGGAATTGCCCAGTCAGGGTCACGGAGGGTTACCTAGGCCTAGGCACCCCCTTATCTTGGGGAGACATTCCTGGGCAGTGTTGATTTTGAGAATTAGCTGTTATACTATCCCGGGAGGCTTCCCAGGCACCATGCAGGCTTTTACCAAAACTGTTTTATCTAAAATAATATGTTAAGATTCATTGCCCCCTACAGTGACAAGTGTTGTTTCCCTAATTTCTCTCTCAGTGAGTTTGTTATTCATGTACAGGAAGGCTGTTATTTTTCAAGTGTTGACTTTGTATCCAGCTATGCTACTGAATTTATTTATTAAATCTAGCAGTTTGGGGCTGGAGATGTGGCTCAGTGGTAGAGTTCTTGCCTTATGTGCACAAAGCCCTGGGTTTGATCCCCAGCAACAACCACCCCACCCCACCCCCCCGCAAAAAAACAAATCTAGCAGTTTTTTTTAGTGGAGTTTTGGGGGTCTTCTTTGTAGAATAGTTTCTTATCTATGTCATCCACAAATAATGATAGTTTAACTTCTTCCATTCCATTATTTTTCTTTCTTTCTCTTATCTAATTGCTCTGGCTAAAGTTTCTGGGACTGTGTTGAATAAGAGTGGAGACAGTGGACATTCTTGTCTTGTTCCTGATTTTAGAGTGAAAGCTTTCAGTTTTTGTCTATTTAGTATGCTGTTGGCTGTTGGTTTGTCATAGATGGCTTTTATCAGATTGAGATAAAGACCATCTATTCCAATTTCTATAGGGTTTTCATCATGAATGGGTTTTAGACTTTGTCAGAAGTTTTTCTGCATCTATTGAGATGATCATATGGTTTTTGTCCTTGGCTCTATTAATATGGTATTATGGTTTGTGTCTGGGTGTCCCCCCCAAAACCTCATGCAGTCATCAGGTGGGCTTCTAGAGTTTATGATTGATTCATGGTCCAGTGCTACAAGTATGGATATGAGTGCTCCACCTGCCCTGAGGTAGATAGTTTGCATACAGTGTAAGGGATGGAAAGAGGCGGCTTGCCTCTACTCCTCCCCTTTGCTCTTGTTGCTTTTGCTGTCTCCCACCACCGTGCACTGTTGCCCTCTGCCATGTGCCACTCTGCCTTGGAGCCAGCCAAGTATGGGCTGAAACCTCCACAGATTGTTAGCTAAATAAACCTTTCCCTCTTTAATTTGGGTGTCAAGTATTTTGTCTCAGCAATGAGAGAAAAATAACAAAGATATATGGTATATTACATTTATTGATTTATATATCCCTGCACCCCTGGGATGAATCCCACTTGGTCATGGTGTATAATCTTCTCGATGATGTGTTGCATTCTGTTTTCCAGTATCTTATTGAGGATTTTTGTATCTATATTCATTAGGGAGATTGACCTGTAGTTCTCTTTCTTAGTTGGGCCCTTCTCCAGTTTTGGTATCAGGGTAATAGTTGCTTCCAGGAATAAATTTGGGAATACTGTTTCCCTTTCAATTTCATTAAAGAGTTTGAGAAGTAGTGGTGTTAGGTCTTCTCTAAATGTCTTGTAGAATTCAGCAGCAAATCAATCCATCAGGGCCTGGGTTTTTCTTTGTTGATAATTTTTTAATTACACCTTTGATTTCATTGATTGATATTGCTTTATTTATGATTAAATATATTCTTGATTCAGCTTTGGTAATTCATATGTATCAAGGAATCTGTCCATTTCTTTTGCATTTTCCATCTTACTAGAATACAGGTTCTCAAAATAGGTATAGATGATCTTCTGGATTTATGCAGGGTCCATTGTGATTTTACCCTTTTCATTCCTAATTGTGTGGATTTGAGTTTTTCCTTTTTTTGATAAAGTTGGCTAAGGGTTTGTTGTTTTTACTTACTCTTTGAAAGAACCAATTTTTCATTGATTCTTAGTAGTGTTTTCTTAGTATACAGTGCACTAATTTCTGCTCTGATCTTTATAATTTCCTCCCTTGTATGAGCTTTTTCTGTGCAAGTTTGAAGTTCACCATTAAGTTGTCTATTTGTGCTTGCTCTCTTTTCCTGATATGGGTATTCACTGCTATAAATTTCCCTCATA